GAATTTTAAATGAGAATTTCCGAAAACTTTTCAGTCTTAATGTATATATAAATATATTGTATGTAGTACATGTACTATAAAAAATAGTCTAAAATTGTTAACTTGCTTTAGAAGTTCTAAGTTTTTTTAGATAAGAAATTGTTTACGAAGGACGGTTTTTGGTAACACCTTAAAGGCTTTATAACTCTTAGATAATATTAGATAAAATAAGACTGGGCCTTGAAAAATATTTATGCTACAATAATAAATAAATCAAAAATTCTTAGTTTCATAAATTTTTTATCAATAATATTTAAATGTGAAGTACTCGTTTGATAAATTTTTCCCAATGTGTGTGGCAGTGCACCACAACATCGAAGATATAAGTTAATTGAAATTTACTTAATAAATTTAATCGTAAATGAATTCGTAAGAACCTGGATATCTATAAAATTTTGCAGGCTGTACCTACATATTTAACAGTAATCTAAATTACAAAAAACTTCAAGCGAAGAAACTAATCCACCAATTAACTAAGTTGAACTGAACGGAAGTTATTAATAGGTTACTTGATGAGGTATCTGATGTTTTTTTGAGTGCACTATTATTTTAAGAAAATGGTGCTATAAAAGTAAATTCGTCTATATCCAAACGGTGATTCTTGATTTTATAGTAAAAATGTCATTGACTATTGATAAATGGCACGTCATTAAGATGGAAACTCAAGTTAATCAAATTGTGACATAGTTCCCAACTCTTTCTAAATCTAATTAAACTTAAGAGTAAGAGAAAGTCTGTAGTGAAAAAGTCACAAAAACATTTTTTTTTTACATTGAATTCGTCTAAACTGATTATTTAGACACTGGACAGAACAATAGGCACTGAAAATACCAATAATCTTACTATAGAAAACCATTCAATGATTTATTAAAGGAATGCGTTCTTATGTCTACATTTTTTTAATTAATGATATTAATAATATTTAGCATATTATTCAGATTAAGCTCAAATTCAATTTTTCTTAAATAAATTAATTTGCTACTGCTTCCGTAAACGGAATGTCCAACTTGAGTTAATACTAACCAATTGTTTCTATTTCAGTATTCGACAAACCAAATATTCATATGGTGTACTATTTTCGTAGTTGCACTAACAAAAAATACATAAGGAACAGAGCTCTGAAGCTATATGCGAAAACCGACAGGCTGCTCTACTTAGCACTATCTAATCTCAGAGTAGTCACTAACCGCATGGGGCGGTACGCAGATCTTAGATCAAGATCTTAGTAACGAAGATTATCAGATTATTATAGTAGTCAGTGAGATGGGCGGGACTCTGCAGAATTCCCCAGCTATCACAGAGTAAAAGTGCCTAAATGCACTAACTCGGAAAAGGCTTAACATACTAACAAAAATGAATATGAATGAATATAAAAAATACAAAAATAAACATGCTAAGTTTTATCAATCAAATAATTACATGGATCAACTCCCCGATAAGTTATAAAAGTCTATAAAAGTGGTATTTAAAGCGGTATTTAGTCATTGAATTCGAGAATTCGTTAAAATCTTTCATCTCTTCAGTTTTACTATTATATATGTTAGACAAATCTGAACTTACTTAAGTTATTCCGTCCCTGAGAACGCATATTATTGTGCTCAAGTTTTATAATTGTAAGAAATAAAATCGAATGAAGTATACAGGAGAGGATCAACTTTTCAGGATTTATGAAACATACTATGTGTGCTCACAAATGAATTGGAATTCTACTTGTAATATAGTATGTGAGATGCATACTAATTGCTAACAACGTTAGAAAGAATTAAACCTTATCAAATGCCAAACTATCAGATGTAAATAATCTCTTATTTGTCTTGCGATTAATTATCTGAGCTTGTGCCACCTCGTGGGAAAACAGGAAGATAATGTCAGTAAAAGAGAGATGCGTTTAAATCTGATATAAATCTGATATTTTTGAAAATGTGTGTTAGGTCTTTTGAAGAATTTCTCTTTCTAACGATAACAAAAAAAAAAAAATACTTGAACATAGAAATACTGGAAGAATGAATTAATTAGATGAATCCACAAATTCTCTGCAGAAAACTCAGGTTCAATGACCTGTTTTTAACGCGACGAGAATACAAATATAAATCAATTTTACTCTGTATTTTTTATTTAATGATATATCAAATTGTCATCATGTCTAATTGCCAGTAAATATTTTCACAGAGAAATACATGACTAGCAATTATAAGTACCTCAACAGTACACGTAGCAACTTACAATTAATGCTGTTGGAAATTCTTGATGTAAGCCCATAAATAATACTTTAAACTGGATCTAAGATATTCGTACAAGTAAATCCAGTTTTTATGTGATTGTTCGTCACTGACTTCAATCAAAAATTCCTAACAGAAATGGAATACATATAAGATTTTAAAAAAATTGTAGCCAAGACTTTGTCTGTGAAGTCTGTGTTGAATGACAAATGTTTATAGTTTCAATCGAAATTAAGACACATAAGACACAAAATTT